CATTTATGGACATCCTGTATATCCATTCTGTAGTACGGTGACCAGAACTGAACCGCGTAATCCAAGTAAGATCTCACAAGCGGTGCAGGATATAGTTTTAGGATGACCTCGCTAGTCTTGTAACTAACACTCCTTTGTGTGAACCAAAATACTTTGTTAACCTTGTTTCGATCAAAAACACATTGTTTACTTGGTTTAAGATTCCTAATTATCATTACTGTCAGGTTTTTGTGTTTGACTCCACTCTTTCCCTCTACTTCAAAGCCCTGCCCACTTTGAGTGATCAGAAGTACATTTAAGTGAAATCGAAAAGTAAAAATATTCGAAATATAAATTTATGACCAAAATGCTATAGTTAAATAATATTGTTTAAACATCTTTTTTTCCATCTCCCTATATACATATTGGACTGAGGCGGCTGCTGTACTGTGTCTATTATTATCATCTTCAAAACCTTTTAACACACTGACAATACATACTTTTTTTACTTTTATCACCTTCGTCACTGATCGGCTCGTTAGCCGCTTGGGCGATCGGTCACGTCTCTGTTACACACTGTTAGCAAGTACTGGCTTGCACTGGTTCCTGAATGTATCTGAACCTGCTCCAGTGTTGGTCAAGTCTGGTCTTGAAACATCTCACACTCGGTGCCGTAACAACACACTCTGGCAGAGTGTTCCAAGCGTTCACACTTCTCACTCCGAAAAGTTGGCCCTCGCTGTTTTCAGGACTTGTGGCTTCTTCAGCCTTGAGCTGTGACCCCTTGTGGGGCGGGCGTCCTCCAGCTTCAGGTATGTACAGTCTCGTTCAAGATTCTTCGAACACTGCTGGAGACAGCTGGCAACTCATGGCCGTTTGTTTACTATAGTACGTAGTATAATATAATATGAAACAACAAAGCCCAACCCTTAAATTAAGCAACGGGGAACTAAATAAAAAATCACCGATCACTTTTACAATTATTCATAAATTTTACTACGTACTATAGTAAACAAACGGCCTTGAGTTGCCAGCTGTCTCCAGCAGTGTTCAAAGAATCTTGAACGAGACTGTACACTCGATCGAGTAGTGCCCTCTGAGATGTTTAGACACTTCAATTAGGTCGCCCTTTGCCCGTCTGTAGTATAAGCTAGGCAGTTGCAGGCGTTCTAATCTCTCTGGGTAGCTGAGGTTCCGTAGAGCAGGCACCAGTCTGGTGGCCCTCCTTTGGACATTTTCAATCAATTGACAGTCTCTAGCATACCTCTGGGACCACACGGGGTGACAGTACTCCAGACGGGGAAGCATTTCACTCTTGAAGATCGTGATGAGCGATTGACCATCTAGATATCTAAACGACCTTCGTATAAGAACTAGTTTCGGTGCCTGATTCACCTTCTTTTCACAATGGTCCGAGAAGTTAAGTTCCTTGTCGACATACACACCCAGGTCCTTTTCACATTCAGTCTCATATTGTGGTTAATAACTACGGCGGGCGGGTCAGGTCGTTGCGTCTCTGTAACAAAGAGTGTTCTGCATTCGGGCCTTCGATGTTGAGGGGCAGGAATTGGACAGTGATTACATAAGAACATCAATATCGTCTTAGTGATGTGAAAGTGTACATCGATGTAGGATTTTTAATGCTAAACGCGATTGTATTTTTGAAAACTCAATTTCCACCGTGTTGGAGGTACAGCCCAGGTCAGGCATAAACCACAAAATCACTGCCATATGACAAAGCTTTTATTTTATTTTCATTTACTGAGTTGTGGTCACGGCTGTGATAAAGGCTAACCAGGGAGTGTAGTACTGTGATTTTAAGTAAATCAGTTCATAGTGCAATCAGTGATCACGGAAGAGGTTGTAAATAACTTAAAGTAAATACAAACTAGCAAGCAAGCTGGTAAGGCACCGCTGCCAGCTGAAACCAAATCGTGTTATAGGTGCCACAGAGACTTTAAATTTTATTTTGTTTGTGTGCTTTCTCATGGACTGAAACTGTGCCTACAATACACCATTCACAGGGAGATACAGTGTACACAGTGATAGTTCATAGTGTCATCAGTGACCGCAGAAGAAGTTGTAAATAACTTAAAGTGAATACAAACTGACAAGAAAGCTGGTAAGGCACCGCTGCCAGCTGAAACCAAATCGTGTTGTAGGTGCCACAGAGACTTTAAATTTTATTTTTGTCTGTGTGCTTTCTCATGAACTGAAACTGTGTCTACAATACACCATTCACAGGGAGATACAGTGTACACAGTGATAGCATAAGACAACTCTACAGGCAACAGGGAAGGTGGTTAAACCCAGAGGAGAGCAGCTAAGTACTGTTCTTTTTTCCTTTCTTTCTTTTTTTAAATAGGTGTAGATCTATACACAGTCTGCACCCCCCCCCCACAACAACAACAACCATGAGTTTGATATGTGATTACTGCAGGGAGACGTCGGATTTGGAGGATACAGGCCTGACTAATGCAACGTTTAGGAAGATGCTAACTACCGTAAGGCATGAAGGCTGTTGCTGGTATTGCCCTGACTGCATAGTCAAGGTGAAAGAGGCGATTGCAAGCCATAAGGGAACGAGTTCCCTAAGGACAAAAATAGATGAAGCTGGAGCCCTGTTGGTTGCCAAACTAGAGCAAGTTGGGAAAGAGATCCTTGAGGAAGTAGCTGATAGAATGGAGGTGGTTGCTAAGAGGAGTTATGCTGAGGCATTAGCAGGGCCACGAGAGGGGGCGGAGAGTAATGCAGGATCAGAACAGGTTCTACAGCAGCTAGGGAAGTGTGTCGAAGATATGAAAATTAACTGACCTACTGTTAGGGGAGAGGAGGAACAACGGGAACGTCTCCAGCGCAGGAACAATGTAATAGTTTTTGGAGTCCCCGAGAGCCAGGCGGAGGGAACTGAGAGTAAGGTAACACACGATAAGATGCAGTTTCAAAATATTTGTACAGAGGTTCTGAAGATGCCATCAACCCCACAGGATGTGAGGAGGCTGGGACAAAAGCAGGGGGATAAGCCTCGCCCCCTCAGGATCACAATAATGAGCGAGGAGGAGAAATGGCTGGTTATTCGGCAGGCAAAAAACTAAGCAAGGAGCGAGGCATTTCGGGATGTATTCATTCACCCAGATCGCACGGTAATGCAGAGGGAACAGCACAAGAAGCTCCTGCAGGACTTGAAGCAGAAGAGGGAGGAGTCAAGGAGGAACGGGGACGGGTGTACATGGGTTATATTCAGGGAGAGGGTAGTAGAAGCAAGCTTGCCGACACAGGGCCAAGGGACAGCAGCGCACCCTCCACCCGCTCTACCCCACACCCGGTAGGTGGCACCAGCTCCGCCTAGTAGACAGGAGGAGACGAGCGCCGTGTAAACAATGAAATTTCTAACTACACCGTGCAAAATACAGTGTACTTAGCAAATGCTGCAGCTTCTGAAAATGGGGGGGGGGTTACTACTAAGTGCAGAGACGTTACCGAGAACACATTCTGGTTTGAATGTCATGTACACTAATACTGACACGTTTCTTGATAAGAGAGAGGAGTTTGAAACACTACTGAAAGCACACCAACCAGATATTTTAGGAGCTGTAGAACTGTTGTACAAGAACAGGATTATTGAACCAGAGGAATGTGAGTTCAGTCTTGCTGGATATGACTCATTTACGAACCTTTCTCAAGAAACTTACAAGAGGGGTGTGGTTTTTCGAATGGTCTGAAAAATGGCAGATGAAATTCAACGTCGACAAATGTAAAGTACTCAGTATAGGAGATGTAAACAGGGAAACCAGATACCAGATGAACAACGATGCCATAGAGAAATCCGACTGCGAGAGAGATTTAGGAGTAATGATAAGTAGGAACCTTAAGCCAAGTAAACAATGTGTTTTTGCTCGTAACAAGGCTAATAAAGTACTTGGGTTCATACAAAGGAGTGTTAGTTACAAGACTAGCGAGGTCATCCTAAAACTGTATCTTGCTCTTGTGAGACCACACCTGGATTACTCAGTTCAGTTCTGGTCACCGTATTACAGAATGGATAAAGAATCCTTGGAAAGAATTCAGAGGAGAATGACAAGACTAATCCCGGGCATTAGGAACCTTGAGTACAGAGACAGGTTAAAGCATCTTAATTTGCACTCCCTTGAGAGACGTAGAGCGAGGGGCGACCTGATAGAGGTGTATAAGTGGAAGGCAGGGTTAAACAAAGGGGACATTACAAAGGTACTCAAATTATCCAACCAGGAGCGAACTCGTAACAATGGTTTTAAATTAGACAAATTTAGATTTAGGCGTGAAATAGGTAAACACTGGTTTGGAAACAGAGTAGTGGATGAATGGAACAAGTTACCAAATATCATCATTAACTCGAATACGCTGAATTGCTTCAAACATATGTTGGATGCTCATATGAGCAATAGGGGTTGGGTGTAAACGGGACTGCCCAGTATGGGCCAATAGGCCCGCTGCAGTTTTCTCCATTCTTATGTTCTTATGTTCTAATCTATGCTAGGCAAGACCTTACAGCCAGCCAGGCGAAGGTACAGGGAGAGGATGTTTTTGAAGAGTCCAAGTGGTGAAAAATTAAATTAAAGGGAGGGGACTTACTTATCGTCGGGTGTATCTACAGATCCCCAAACTGTGGCCCACTAAATCAAAGGAACTTAAGAGCACTGGGCCTGGGGGTAGCCTGGACTGCGATAGGACATCCCAGGCTCCACACTGCTACAGTGCAGCTCCCCAATCCTACAGTGCAGCTCCCCAATCCTACAGTGCAGCTCCCCAATCCTACAGTGCAGCTCCCCAATCCTCCAGTGCAGCTCCCCAATCCTACAGTGCAGCTCCCCACACCCACAGTAGAGCTCCCCACACCCACAGTACAGCTCCCCACTCCCACAGTACAGCTCCCGACTCCCATAGTAGAGCTCCCCATTCCCACAGTGCAGCTCCATACTCCCACAGTGCAGCTCCCCACTACCCACAATGCAGCTCCCCTCCCACGTCTTTGGGGTACATACCGGAGGTGACAGCAGAGGGCGGGGAGGCGGTGGGAGAGGAGGCGGATGGTGCCCTGGGTGATTCTGGTGTCTCCACAGGCGTCAACTGCCGCTCAAGACCTGCCGGAGATAACCTATCTTACTGACCAGTCTGTACTGTACTGTACTGTACTGTACTGTACTGTACTGTACTGAACTGTACTGTACTGTAAAGTAGTCTAGGCTAAACATGTATTATTGCAGGAGCAAGAGATAGTCTTTATACACAAGTGTTGTAATATAAGTATTGAGTTTATTTATATCTGCACCACAGAATACAAATGGCCAGGACCCACTGGGCCATGGACAGTAACAGTACGCCTGTCGACTCACAAGTTGCCTGGGGCGGCTGGCCAGGCCTAGAGGTAGCTGACAGCCGCTTGGCCAGGGCCGGCACAGGCGGGGAGGTGGAGCGTAACTCTGAGGCGGATCGAGGTGACGTCACCAGCTCCTCACTCCTCGAAGGTGTCATGGGCGGCAGGCGGCGAGGTGTGGGTGGCCGGGAGCAGGGTGACGGAGGCTGGCTGCTGCTTCTACCATCCAAGGACAAATCTGCTACTATTCGTCCTGTGAAGACATTTTCATAGAGATAGTTTATTGTGGTAAGACACTGCCAGAATGTTTGTGCCATGAACATTATAACACGCTCCACTATGGAAGCAGAAGAAACAGACAATTACTGGTATGAAAATTACCTTGTAGGGCCGGCTGAGAACCTGAGCTGCCGGGACGACTGCCGGGACGGCTGCCGGAGCCCAGACAGTTGGCTGCAGATAGACTCCTGGGAGAGGGTGGTCTTGAGAGAGGGCGTGAGGGAGGGTTGGGGAGCTCCGGAAGCATGGGCGTGGAGTCAGCACTCTGGAGGCGCTTAAGGACGGTGGGGATGGGCGGGCTGTTGGTGCGAGGCGCCGGGACACTGGTGTCTGGGGCGAACTCCGGCACGTCGAAAGTTGACTCACCTGCAGGAAGGTTTGTTTTACTTATTTGACCTTAACCCTTTCACTCCTGGATAGTTAAATCATCGTCCTCAAAGGGTTAAACTATTGTTATCAAAGGGTTAAACTATTGTTCTCAAAGGGTTAAATTATTGCTAGCAAAGAGTTAAATTATTGTTGGCAAAGGGTTAAACTATTGTTCTCAAAGGGTTAAACTATTGTTCTCAAAGGGTTAAACCACTGGTCTCACAGGGTTAAATTGTTGTTCACAAAGGGTTAAATTATTGTTCTCAAAGGGTTAAATTATTGTTCTCAAAGGGTTAAATTATTGTTCTCAAAGGGTTAAATTATTGTTCTCAGAGGGTTAAATTGCTGTTCTCAAAGGGTAAAACTACTGTTCTCAAAGGGTTAAATTATTGTTCCCAAAGGGTCAACTATTGTTCTCAAAAGGTTAAACCATCATCCTCAAAGGGTTAAATCACCACCCTCAAAGGGTTAAAATTTAAACACTTAGGATCATAAAATATAACAATAACACCGGGAGGGAGAATCAGTGGAATAAAATATATATTTGACCATAAGAAGAAGAAGAACTGACAGAGGCCAGTAAGCGACCCTCACCTGTGAGTTTCCGCATGAGGGCGGGCACAGGTGGGGAGGAGGATCGTGCTGGGGCTGGGGTGTACACTGTGGGCGTGGTCACCACCTGCACGTCGTCATCATCGTCGTCTGGTTCCTCCTCCCCCTGCATGCTCTTGTGGGTGGGTAAGGGAGGGGAGGGTGGTGGCTGCGACAACAATACCACAAACCATCATTATACACTACAGTACACACGAGTCAATTAACATTCAAAAGAAATATTTAAAATAAATGGTTATATGAAGTTTAAAAGCTACATTTCAAGAATTATTAAACAGCATTATTAATGCACATCAATGGCGCCGTGACTACAGACGCTCCAATTCATATGTGTCTTAGTCAATGCTCCCTGGAGATACTGTCGGTCACAACAATAACTCCATAACTGGTGCAGGGCGTAGACGAGTTATGGAACTGTACCATTCATAGAAACAACTATTTTCTGCGTTTTTCAACCGTTAAAAGCCATCATAACATCCAATAAGTCCTTCATAAAGCCTTGGGAAATAAAGGTCGCGAATGCAGAAGGATTTACAATGCATATGATACCAAGAAAATTTTTACAAAACCCCACATAAACAAACATACCAACGGACGGTGTGGATTTGGTGTGGGTAGGTAATGCAGTGTGGGTGTGATTTGGGTGGAGTGTGAATATGGCGTGGGTAGGTAGTGAACAGTAAACATGGTGTGGGCGGTGGACTGTGTTTGTAGTTACCTTGGGGGCAGGTTCGGGCGTGTAAGGGTAGTGGAGTGCCGGCGTGAGGGAAGGTTTGATGGTTGGCCACTGCCTGGAGGTGGCGGAGGTCCGGCTGCTGCGTCTTCTGTCTCGGGGCGATGGTGACCTGGAGAAGAGATAACACAGTAAATATTGTGGCGAAAGAAAGAAGGAAAGAAAGAAAGAAAGAAAGAAAGAAAGAAAGGAAGGAAGGAAGAAAGGAAGGAAGGAAAAAAAAAGAGAGAGAGAGAGAGAGAGAGCAAATCCACACCAATTGTGAATCTATGCTTAATAGAAACACCAAGCCGCTGAACTAGAAAAACAATATCAACCTTCTGACATAATTAGGAAGGCAGACAGACAGACAGGTGGAAGGAATGATAGACTGAAGATATTGTAATAAATAAGACGATAGACAGGTGAGTAGGCCAGGTGTGATGGACAAGTAAACAGGACAGGTGTGATGGACAGGTGAACAGGACAGGTGTGATGGACAGGTGTGATGGACAGGTAAACAAGACTACCTTGAGATATCAGATGACAGAGACTCCTGGCGGGACTTATCCCAGGTCTTGCGGCGTCGACGTTGGGGTTGTGGCTGATCACTCTCCTCGGTGCCCGTGTCCCGCTCACACCGACTCAGTGATCTGTAACACACACAGCCCGTCACTCACTCTCACATCACTCACAACACAAGATTTCCAGAAACTTTGAATCAGTAACTGGTATTTGGCAAATACAAGACTCGCTTTATTTTCGCTTTTATTTTTACGAGGTGAAATGAAATTTTGTGAAATAGAAACAAATTAATTAATAAATGCTAAAGTATTTTTTCACAACAATAATGTAAGAACAAATCATGTAGTTAAAAATTTTAGTATATTTCGAAAGGAAAATTATGAGGCGCTCTACAAGACAAGGATGAACCCGCCAAAGCAACATTGTGAGATATTGGGGTTCAGATGTTCTTATGGTCTCAAAAGCCTTGTGTACAAGGCGGATTTTCGAATTGATAGGGGCGAGCCCACCACATGATGTCAGTCTAGTATTATGGAGCAATATGACTGAGCTGTCTGGAGACCTAAAATAAATTTTTGACCCATGGCGGCCTCGCCCTTGTCATACAAGATTATCACTCGGGAACATTCAGGAATGTGAAGCCCTCTACTTAACGGATTACACAGAGAGAAAAGTCCGTTATATGGAGGGTTCACTGCAGATCTGAGGTTAAATTGTAGGTCAATGAGATGAACCTGACCTGGCAGCCCGCCGCCTGAGCCTCCTGCTGGAGTACGGATCCTTCTCTGACTGCTTCCTGTAGGGTCTGTCACTGTGGTTATGGCCCCAGGGTGGGCGGGCGTCGCTGCTGTGGCCACTGTCACGAGGCAGGGACGCCGTGTTCCTCCTACTACCTCGCCTACGGGACTCACGTCGTGGACTGCTCCTGAAGGAAACAGACAGCGTGTTCGACTGAGGCTCCGCCAGGGGCAGAAAGCCTCTATATTTTATTTATAATATAAGCCTCCTTATCAGCAGCAGATGTATCCTCTTACACCTGGCAGGTGGAGGGTCATCACACTGGGGGCCACAAACATCTGTCAGGTGGAGGGTCATCACACTGGGTGCCACACTCACTTGTCAGAGGATGGTCATCACACTGGGGGCCACAATCATCTGTCAGGTGGGAGGTCACACACTGGGGCCCCACCTGTCAGGTGGATGGTCATCACACTGGGTGCCACACTCACTTGTCAGAGGAGGGTCATCACACTGGGGCCACAATCATCTGTCAGGTGGAGGTCATCTCACACTGGGGCCACACTTACCTGTCAGGTGGAGGGTCATCACACTGGGGCTACACTTACCTGTCAGGTGAAGGGTCATCACACTTGGGGCACTCACCAGTCAGGTGGAGGGTCATCACACTGGGGGCCACACTCACCTGTCAGGTGGAGGGACATCACACTGGGGGCCACACTTACCTGTCAGGTGGATGGTCATCTCAGTGGGTGCGGACCTCACTTGTCAGGTGGATGGTCATCCACTGGGGGCCCTCACCTGTCAGGTGGAGGGTCATCACAGTGGGTGCGACACTCACTTGTCAGGTGGATGGTCATCACACTGGGGCCACACTTACATGTCAGGTGGATGGTCATCACACTGGGGGGCCACACTTACCTGTCAGGTGGAGGTCATCACACTGGGGGCCACACACTCACCTGTCAGGTGGAGGGTCATCACACTGGGGCCACACTTACATGTCAAGTGGATGGTCATCACACTGGGGGCCACACTCACCTGTCAGGTGGAGGGTCATCACACTGGGGCCACACTCCCTGTCAGGTGGAGGGTCATCACACTGGGGAGCCACTCACCTGTCAGGTGGAGGTCATCACACTGGGGCCACACTCACCAGTGGCCACTCCACTGTCAGGGAGGGTCACACAGTCACCACTGTCAGGAGGGTTGTCATAACTCAGTCAGTGAGGTCATCACAGGCACACTTCCACTGTCAGAGGAGGGTCATCACATTAGGCCAAGCACCTGTCAGGTGGAGGGTCATCACACTGGGGCACACTCACCTGTCAGGTGGAGGGATCACACTGGGTGCCACACTTCCGGGAAGGAGGGCCACGGTACTTGGTAGTGATGATGCGGTTGGTGATGGTCACCCGGGTAGTCGTACTGAGGCCCAGCAATCGCTGACCTGGTGAGTGATGGAAAGCGTGAGGACAGAACAGCCGTGAGTGACAGAACAGCCGTAAACAACAATTACGTCGAGGAAAACAGATACAGTGAATTTCTGGCTAATGCTGCAAGAGAATAGTCCGTTATATCGAGGTTAGTTAGATTTGGAACTTCCATCTAGCGAACTATATAGAAATGAAAGTACGTGATATTGAAGTTCCATAGATGAAACCCATCTAACGGATTATATTTACGGGGTATAGCCACCGCACAGGTCATCGAACGGGGCCTAGGGGCGAAAAAAAAGGAAAAACAATTAAAAAATAATGAAAAAATATTATATTAATCACACCTCGAAGATGCCGAAACCAGCTTTTTGAAGTGAGACATTGTATGGGTGGTAACACAGAAGAAGGCAGAACGTTCCACAATTTTCTGTGGAGGAAAAGGATAATGGAGAGAGAAGTCCGTTATATGGAGGTTTTACTGTAGTCTTACTGTTATCTGATGAACAGCCTTTACTCTGACCTTGGCTGTTAGGTTAGGTTATATGTTACTCATCTTTTTATTAGCATTAACAAAACAATAAATATCCCTGATATATCTTACAAGTGTGGGAGTAGTGTAGACAGGTGTGTGGAGGAGTGGGCGTGGCAGGTGTGGAGGAGGTGTGTGGGGTGGAGGGTGTGGAGGAGGTGGACAGGTGGTGGGAGGGACAGGTGTGGGAAGAGGGACAGGTGGAGTTGACAGGTGTGTGGTGGGTGACAGGTGTGTGGTGGAGTGGGACAGGTGTGTGGGAAGAGGGATGTGTGAGTGACAGGTGTGTGGTGAGTGTGTGTGGTGGAGTGTACAGGTGCATTCTTATGGATACTTGTTGTGTGTGTAGAGGGTGATGGGAGAGTGAGATAGTTGGAGGGTGATGGCTCGAAACTCCAGTCTGACCGGACATTAGCCGAGGGCAAAAGTATAGGGTAACTCTGCGGTTGACCAAGGATTGTAAATCAGCCTAGCTCCCCTCCCATGTGACATGTGGCCCCAACAAAACATGTAAGAAGGCACCAGCTGACCCTCTTCCGATATACAATAACCTACTCTCTGAACAAAGGCCGGACCTGACCTCACAATTAGCCAGGTCACTTGTAACCCTTGGAGCCCAACTCAAGGCCTCTCGTGTTACACGGCCCCACCTGACGACTTCTCCTTACATCTCAGAAACTCCAGTCTGACACGACGTTTGGGAAGTCAAGTGTAGGGGAACTCTCACGGTTGCTCTCCCAATATACACATGGCCCCACCTGATGACTTTCCCAGATAGTTCTGAAAAAGTCCAGGCCTGACCGCACATTTGCGGGGTCAAAATGTAAGGAGACCCTTCGCCGCCCCCCCAGGCCAGCTGAACCTGACGGCTCGCTTCCCAATATATAGGACGTCCTGGTCCTCCCTCGAGGATTCGCAGAGAAGTAGTTGTCTTGTAACAAGGTGGCCAGCTACTACACCACCAGGCCTGCTCGAGAGAAGTCAGAGGCCGGAGGCAAGTCGCCTCCGGTCAGGACCGAGACTTCCCTCCGGTGTCCCAGCTAAGCAGGCGCCCTCCCGACACCAGTGTTCCAGCTCAGCAGTCTCCCTGCCAGGCCTCCCCTAGGTCACGTGAGTGTTTGTCAGAGCTTTCCATGGGATGAGTTACCTACGTGGGAAGTGTATTCATTTCATGTTCGTGTCCGAGAATCAGAGTGTCTAGTAACGTAATATGATGTCCTAGTAACGTAAATATAATGTCCTAGTAACTTCAATAGAAGGTGTTATTAATGGGTCCATGTCATGTCGTTAATTAATAAAGAGTTGTAACGAAGCAGTGTTTGAGAAGTCGCCCTTAAGACGTAATAGAAGTGTATTGACGTATAAGATACGATAAGTGTACTGACAGTGTAAATAACTATCACGGCCACGCTACCGAAGTCTTCCTCTCTTTATACTCTTATACTATCAATATTCTACCTATATGTAATCTTCTTCTTGTGAGTTTTGTCTCATTACAATGGTGGCAGCGCCTTAACGTAATACTCACGCCTCTTAACTTTAGTGTTCAGTACAGTGATAGTTAGAATCTTTTGAAGTAATCTCGTAACTATCTTGACGAAGCAGGCAGTACAAGGGTGGTTGCATTCGTTACATTATATAGGTGACAGCGAACTATATGTAATTCACGCTCTCCTTGTCTCTTGTTATAGGTGACAGCGAACTATATATGTAATTCACGCCTCCCTCGCTTAGTTATTATAATGGTAGCAGCGAACTTAACGTAAACTCACGCCTTCCCTCGGTTAGCCATAACACCTGGCTCGTTTCATCCTTCATTTGTTTCAGTCTAAGTTTGTCTACAATTGTGTAATAAGTAATTCCCGTGTCGTAGCGTGAAAAGTGGCCTAGTGTGTCACCGCTACAGCTCAAGTAAATGTCTCTCGTCGTGGTATGCGCGAATTTTTTTTTTCTAGAAATATGTTCAGTGCTTAACGTGATTTCTCAGTGTCCCCGCGATCTGTGACATTCTCAGTAGCCCAAGAGCAGTTTGATTGTTGGTCAGTGTTGAACGTAGAAATTGTTTCAGTTATGAAAGCGGTGTCTGTACTAACTGTTATAACTTAACATGTCTTTTAACCTACATCCTCCTCCCTGTCCTAACCCTCACCTCACCCTCCGTACCCATCCGTTCCCGCCTCGCTCCGCCCTGCCCTGCCCTACCCCGCTCCGCCCCGCCCCGCCCCGCCCCGCAAAGCCCCGCCCCGCAAAGCCCCGGCCTGGCCCGATCAACCACGCCCCGGCTCCCCCCACCTCACCCGCCACGCCTCGCCCCACCCCGCCCCGCCCCGCGCCGCGCCGGCCTGGCCAGCCGCGCTCCGCAGCCGTGCCCCGCCTCGCCTCCCCTAGGTCGCTGTGACCACCAATCCCCATATGTTTTGTCCCGTGAGTTATGCTTTGAAATCGGTGGTTAGTGTTACTTAATATTGCGATAATTACAGAGCTTCACTCAGTGTGTTTTTATGCTAGTATGATTTGTAATGTTCTCTTTGACGCGTAGTGATAAATAATATTCAATGTAATGAGCAGAGCTTCACTCCCCGACCCAGCCTAATGAGAAAATTGTCGTGACGGAAATAATAGTTACCAAACATTGACGTAACTTATAAAGTAAATATTTGTTTCTTTTTGCGAATGCACTTCCAACTAATCCATCATCCCTTTAGGATTGTTTCTGTCAAATATCACACACAGTACCGCCCCACGGCTAGCCGGAATCCGTCCACAGCACATATACGAAGAGAAGAAGCAGCGTGAGGAATGCAGCACCACACCCGCCACGCACCACCCCACTTCTTTCAAGTCCTACCTGGTCTAGGATTAAGAAGAGTTTATATTTTTCTACTAGGAAGTTAAGGAGTGTGGAATGAAGTGCCACACAACGAACCCTGGTGAGCCCAGCCAGGGAGGGATTCACCACTGCGGAAGGTGTAAGACAGGACGGTCTTTGGTCTCGCCGACACTCACGTACGGAGGGCGAGCCCTGGTCCGCGGAACCTGCCTTACGAGTTATCTAAGGAGACGACAGCCCAAACAGTGGACCGGCTTTCATCCCAGCCGGAGAGGGCCGTCGGCAGATGAACAGAAAATCGTCTGGAATATGTTGAAAACGAAGATGTATAAAGAAATACAGATGGAGCAGAAAAATTCATCTGGAATATGACGGAAACGCAGATGAACAGAAAATTCATCTGGAATATGAAAATGCTCTAAACGTAGAGGAAGCGCAGGTGAACAGAAAAATCATCTGGAATATTATAGAAACCAGGAGGAAGTGAGAAGAAGTCAGATGTGGTGACACGACCTACAAAGTGCGGTATTGAAGAAGGAAAAACGTGCTATGTGAAGACAGAAGAGACGCTGTGCTGACATCAGAAGAAAGTCGACGATGACAAGGTGGATAATCAAAAGGACCAATCGACTACCGTTGTTGTGCTGCCAGCATTCCTTATTTTCAGATACCAGCTGGATGGAGGACTTGAGCCATGCTGGACCCAACAAATGTACTGATGTTGTTGATGTTGCTGATGTGTAATAAAAAGATATAACACCCTAACATGTTAAGCAGGAGCATTTTGTATGAAGTATTTCATTCTCTGATTTTTGTTAACATGTACTACAAAGAATGTTGTTTAAAAAAAAGATTAGTCACTTTGTCTATGAGTTCATTTGATCAATGTTTTGTATTACCAAACACAATGTTGTAGCCATTTACTGACTGAGATGAATTATTATTTTGACACGGCCTGGTTAGGCAATGTAACACCTGTTTTTGTTTGTAGAATGTGATTTGCAAGTTTGCCTCGGACACTATGCTAGATATGAAGGATCTTTAGATCACTCTATGTTCAATTACTGTGTATGTATTTTATTTTTTTCTCCTGTCATAGAAGCTTTAATCTTGGCGGGAGGTATAGTAAGCTTTGTCAGATCAAACTATGCCAGTAGAAAAACATACATCTCTAGGGTTATTATTTGTAAAATGTAAGGATGCATTATCGCCTGAGGGACTATATTAGATACTGCACATGATGTTACTGTCTACTTTAAATGTATCATCAGTTCTCTGAGCATGAAAGCTTTGGTCTTGGCGGGAGGTGTAGTGAGGGGTTGTCAGACCACAGCTTACATCTCAGAAACTCCAGTCTGACCGGACATTAGCCGAGGGCAAAAGTATAGGGTAACTCTGCGGTTGACCAAGGATGGTAAATCAGCCTAGCTCCCCTCCCATGTGACATGTGGCCCCAACAAAACATGTAAGAAGGCACCAGCTGACCCTCTTCCGATATACAATAACCTACTCTCTGAACAAAGGCCGGACCTGACCTCACAATTAGCCAGGTCACTTGTAACCCTTGGAGCCCAACTCAAGGCCTCTCGTGTTACACGGCCCCACCTGACGACTTCTCCTTACATCTCAGAAACTCCAGTCTGACACGACGTTTGGGAAGTCAAGTGTAGGGGAACTCTCACGGTTGCTCTCCCAATATACACATGGCCCCACCTGATGACTTTCCCAGATAGTTCTGAAAAAGTCCAGGCCTGACCGCACATTTGCGGGGTCAAAATGTAAGGAGACCCTTCGCCGCCACCCCAGGCCAGCTGAACCTGACGGCTCGCTTCCCAATATATAGGACGTCCTGGTCCTCCCTCCAGGATTCGCAGAGAAGTAGTTGTCTTGTAACAAGGTGGCCAGCTACGACACCACTAGTGCTGCTCCAGCGAAGTCAGGGCCGGAGGCAAGCCGCCTCCGGTCAGGACCGAGACTTCCCTCCGGTGTCCCAGCTAAGCAGGCGCCCTCCCGACACCAGTGGTCCCGCTAAGCAGACTACCTGCTAGGCCTCCCCTAGGTCACGTGAGTGTTTGTCAGAGCTTTCCATGGGATGAGTTACCTACGTGGGAAGTGTATTCATTTCATGTTCGTGTCCGAGAATCAGAGTGTCTAGTAACGTAATATGATGTCCTAGTAACGTAAACATAATGTCCTAGTAACTTCAATAGAAGGTGTTATTAATGTGTCCATGTCATGTCGTTAATTAATAAAGAGTTGTAACGAAGCAGTGTTTGAGAAGTCGCCCTTAAGACGTAATAGAAGTGTATTGACGTATAAGATACGATAAGTGTACTGACAGTGTAAATAACTATCACGGCCACGCTACCAAAGTCTTCCTCTCTTTATACTCTTATACTATCAATATTCTACCTATATGTAATCTTCTTCTTGTGAGTTTTGTCTCATTACAGAGGGTGATGGAGGGTGATGGAGGAGTGATGGAGGGGGAGGGGAGTGGGTGATGGAGGAGTGATGGAGGAGTGGGGGGAGGGGAGAGAACGCACCTGAAGAAGTATGAAGAAGGGTCAAGAGTGTACCTCGGTCCAGCAGGCCAGACGACGCCAGCAGCACCTCCGGCGTGATACCCAAACTACGCAGGAGCCTCGCCAGTTCCTCTGTGTCTCCCCCCACCTGTAGGAGCGGTAAAGGTAAGTTATTAGGTCACACACCCTAGACTGTCGCGTACCAGGGAAGTTTAGCCTGAGTACTGGTCACATCGTCAGGACACACGGCTGGACCTTGGATGAGACGTGAGCAAACATTACCTTGTGTTGGTGGAGATAAGGCAGAGACGAGAGACAGCGAGAGCTAATTGTACTTGCGTGAGAGGCTTTGAGACTATCGACCTCCACAGACAGTTATATACAGTGTTTTCATATGTTTGTTTACCTTCTGTGGGTGAGGTGTTGTTGGCTGTGGCTCCTGTAGTTGTTGTTGTTGTTGTTGTGGCTGCTCATGTTGTGGTTGTGGTGGTGGTGGTGATGATGGCCGTGGTTGCTGTTCCTCCACCGTCGACTGGTTCAGATCATGGGAGAGTTGTCTGCGGTGGTGGTGACGCTGGCGAGGTGTGGTGGCGGAGCGGGGCGTGAGGGAGACGGGGTCATCAGCTTCCTCCCTTACCTCAGGCAGGGGGCCACTCTGCTCAGGGATTAACATGATTTAGGGAACGTAAATTTAAAGGTTATCGGCATGATAGTGTTAACAGTTATATATAAGAGTGTTAAAAAGTATATATGGTAGCACAAAAAATAACCAACAATTGAGGATTTATAAATGTAAAACTGTACTTTATTAATATAATTTAAGGAAGAGAAAAGTCACTCACCGAGGAGAGGGACCGTATGTGGCCATATTTAATAACGGATTTCTCCTTCTTGGCACGCTCGGACGCCTCCTTGATGGCCGACTGCAACTGTATCTGCCGCCGCTCCTCTGCTTCCTAGACACATACAAGTACATACATATTTAAGTCATCTTATATTTCCTACACTTATCCTACCACCTTCAGTCTGAGTTATACACATGATCTCTGTCATACAACATACCTCCATAACCCGTCATTATAACGTGAAATTTCGCTGACTCAATGTTTACAGCATGAGCCTTGACTTGAATGGGGAAAACAATAATAATACTTGTTCTTCTACGACAACTGTAAATTTAAGATGATAAAAAAGACGTAAAAATATTGTCTCCGATATTCAGTTAAATTATAATAAAAAAAACAGTTTTTCCTCTCCTCTCCAGTTCCGTCTCCCACAAATCTCTCACTTAAAACATTCGTACACTGTCTCTTGGTCTCACTTCCTTCATTTCTTCCTGATATTATCCCTCCCATTCCCTCTCCTTCTCCTCCTCCTCTCCCCTCCCTCTCTCCTTCTCCTCTCCTCCCTCTCTCACTCTCCTCCCCTTCCTCTCCTTCTCCCCCCTCTCTCATTCTCCTCCCCTCCCTCTATCTCCTTCTCTCCCCTTCCTCTCTCCTTCTCCCCCCCTTCTCTTCTTCTCTTCTCCTTCCTCCTCCCCTCCCTCCTCCTCCTCCTCTCCTTCCCTCCCCCTCTCTCCTTCTCCTCCCCTTCCTCCCTCTCCTTCTCTCCTCCCCTTCCCTCTCTCCTTCTCCCCCCTTCTTCTCCTTCTCTCCCCTTCCTCTCTCCTCCTCCCCTTCTCTTCTTCTCCTCTCCTCCCCTCTCTCCTTCTCCTCTCCTCTCTCCCTCTCTCCTCTCTCCCTCTCTTCCTCTCTCCTTCTCCCCCCCTCTCTCCTTCCCCTCCCCTTCCCTCTCTCCTTCTCCCCCTTCTCTCCTTCTCTCCTCTCTCCTTCCTCCTCCCCCTTCTCTTCTTCTCCTCTCCTCTCTCCTCTCTATCTCCCTCCCCTCTCTCCCCTCTCCTCCCCTCCTCTCTCCCTCTCTCTCTTCTCTCCCCCCCTCTCTCTCCTTCTCCTCCCCCCTCTCTCTCTCTTCTCCTCCCCCTTCCCTCTCTCCTTCTCCCCCCCCCTTCTTCTCTCTCCCTTCTCTTCTTCTCTCCTCTCCTCTCTCTCCCTCTCCCTTCTCTCTCTCTCCCTCCCCTTCCTCTCTCCTTCTCTTCTTCTCCTTCTCCTCCCTTCTCTCTCTCTTCTCCCCTTCTTCTCCTTCTCTCTCCTTCCTTCTCCTTCTCCTCCTTCTCTCCTTCTCTTCTCTCTCCTCCCTCTCTCTTCTCCTCCCCTCCCTCTCCCTCCCCTCTCTCCTTCTCTCCTCCCCTTCCCTCTCTGCTTCTCCCCCTTCTTCTCCCTTCTCTCTCCCCTCCCTTCTCTTCTTCTCCTCTCTCCCTCCCCTCTCCTTCTCCTCCCCTCCTCTCCCCTCTCCCTCCCTCCTCCTCCTCTCTCTGTTCCCTCCGTTACCTCCCCCTAAGACACTGTCCACACACTCTTACCTCTTTCTCTTTTTTCTTTCTTATCTCTTCTTGGTACTCTCGAGCTTCTTTCTCTTGTTGTTCTCTCACTCGTTCCTCCCACATGGCTGCTTCTCTCTTCTCTTTCTCCTCCTCCAGGGTCTTTTGTCTCCTCTTCTCCTCCAGCTGGGGGAGAGAGATCACCGTGAGAAACATTCCTCACAGACAATCTCATGAGAATACAGTGAACCTAACCTAACCTAACCTAACCTCACCTAGCCCTAAGATTTCAAGACAATCTCATGAAAACACAGTAAACCCTCGACACAACGAACCCCCCGATTTAATGGACCCTCGATATAACGGACCCTCGATATAACGGACTTTCATCTCTATATAATCTGTTAGATGAGGATTTTGCATCTACATATAGAGGAACCAAACATATAATGGACCTACCTCTCCAAATAGTCCGTTTAAGAGAGGTTTCACTGCACGTATATTTATTTCAGTGTCTATAATCGGTCATATAATCTGTCATATAATCTGTCATATAACCTGTCATATAATCGAAACCTTACCTGTTGTTTGATTATTTTTTGCGTCTCCTCCGCTTGCTTCTTGCGTCTCTCCCTCTCAGCTGCTTCCTCTGGGTCCATTTTACTCATTCCTCCTCCCCGGGCGTAGGTCCTGCCATAACAAACACACAGACAGCGTAACACCTTATTAACCCTTTATTTAACAGCAAGTTTATATATACGTGTTACACCCTTGGGATGTTACTAGTCAATATCTTCTCTAATGTTTGTATAGCCCTATCATCACTTGGGGGATTAATCTACAGTCATCCACAAAAATCCGTTCATTTCTCCCCCTGAACCACGAACCCGGGGATTAAGACTCGTGAACCCAAAGCAGTGAACCCGAAGCAGTAAACTGATACAGTATTTTTGTCAAGGTAAAGTTGTCAAAGTTGTGAAGGAAAACACTTAGGCGGGCAGTGGGTGTCTGGGCATCAAGGAGCAGGAGGAGGGAGGTAAGAAACAGGAAGGAGGAGGTAGGAGTAGGGAGTAAGAGTTAGGAGGGAGTAAGGAGGTAGTAGGGGGTAGGAGGAAGGAAGGAAGAGGTTGGAGGTATAAGGATGGAGGAGAAGGTATGAGGCGGAAGGTAGGAAGGAGGAAGTAGGAGGTACAAGGATGAAGGAGGAGGTAGGAGGCAGGAAGGAAGAAGTAGGAGGAAGGAAGCAGGAAGAAGGAAGTATGAATCAGAAAGGATGAGGTAGGAAGGAGGAAGGACGAAGTAGGAGGCAAGAAGCAAGAGGTAGGAAGCCGGGGCAAAAAGCAGGAGGTAGGAAGCAGGAGGCAGGAAGCAAGAAGGAGTGAGTAGGAGGCAGGAATTATGATGAATATAATGAATAAAGATTTAATATCAAGTAAGTGTTTCATAATGGATCTTTATTATACAGAAAGATCATAGCAACACATCTGTTCTCTCTAATGAGGAAGATCTCGTGTGAAGTCGTTTAGTACGCTTCAGTCTTCTTGTTTTCTTAATTATACAAGTAATAAATAATAAAATGTAACGTATGAATTATAACATTGGATTTTTATGGCCAGAGGACCATCGAGTCAGGTTTAAGTCTCTCTACAGTCTTATAAAAACAACGATCTATATTAGAACAAAATTATCTTTAAGATTCGAGAATTTTTTTCTTCAAAGCACCATTTCCGAGATTAAACCTTGGAGGAAGAAAAACTTGACAAGACAGGAGAGTCTTATAAAGAGAAGCTACCGAAGAAGTTCATGGAGAAAGAGGAGGCCCTCCCCCGACGGAGGAATACATTGTTTACCTTTCGTCCTTTCCTCCCTGGTCGGTGCTGCTGGTGTCTCGTGCTAAAGGTCGGTTTAAAGTACCGCATTACTTTTAGTAACATAGTTTTAGAGAGCGGTAACTGTTACCACGCAAGGTTTCGTGTTCTGACGCACTCAAAAGAAATTTCCTAAAAAAACTGTGAAAGAGTTACAAGAATCAAGTGGCGAGAGAAAAGGTACGGGGTGCCCACAACACGCACGGCAGTTACCTTTAACGACGATAATTATTTAACCATTTAACGAAGATGATTTAACCCTTTAACGACAATTATTTAATTCTTCAGGACTCAAAGGGTTAAAAATACCTATACTGGCATTGTGGAAAGCCTAAATGGTTTTAACACTTATACCAGATAGGGCATAAAGGTGTTGTACAGGAATTAGAGGGTGACGTTGAAGGTTTAATCTGGCATCACTCACCTCTGGCCAGTCTTAGAGAGAGGAGCGCCCGGTAGAACGTTTTCTTCATTCTGGTCAGCCCATGCCGGGGGCAGCACCTGACTCCCACGACTCCCTGGAGAAGTATCATCCCCCGGCGCCCACAGGTGACCGACACCCACTCCCCGGTCACCCCAGCGAGCCCTGCCAGCGCTCCGGTCGTCTTGTATGGATGCTGCCGAGGCTGACTGGTGGTCAGCTCGACCTGGCTCAGGAGACGCTGACCATCTTGATCCTTCAGAGGAGGTGGCTGACAGAGGCACCGAGTCTGTCCCCTGCTGGAGGAAAGTGAGACAGAGTGAACAGTGTGTGTGTGTTTGTCCGTCTGTAAGGGTTTTTATGTGTGTGTTTCTGTCTATCTGTGACTGTATTCATGTGTGTCCACGTACACTACAGCAGCGACCCACAGGTGAAGGGCCTTAGTGGATCGTTCTCCATTTAACGGACTATATGTAGAGAAAAGTCTGTTATATAGAGGGTCTGTTAGATGTGAAACCCCCATCTAACGGGCTATATGGAGCGAGAAATCCGTTATATGGAGGGTTCACTGTACAGGTGAGGTAAGGACAGTTCGGGTCAGGTTAGGTCAAGTCAAGTCAAGACAGGACAGGACAGGACAGGACAGGTCAGGTCAGGTCAGGTAAGGTCAGGTAAGGTAAGGTTAGGTTAGGTCAGGTTAGATCAATTCAGGACAGGTCAGGTTATGTTAGGTCAAATTAAGTTAGGTTAGGTCATGTTAGGTCAAGTTAGGTTAGGTTAGGTTAGGTGAATAGCACAAGGAAGACAGTGATGAGGCGGGGAGAGTAGTAGTAGTGGGGGGCAGGAGAGTGCTTGAAGGGGGAACTACACGAGGATGCAATTAAGCTGAGTTGTTGACTAAGCCTCGACTCTAATATGCTCAAGGGGGAGGTAAATGTAAGGTTGAGTATGAGCAGTGGAGACCGTGGAGACCAGTGGAGAAAAGCGTCACTCAGTAGTAACAACGTGGAGTAACAAAGTGAAGGAGTGACAATGTGAAAGAGTGACAATGTGAAGGAGTAACAATGTGAAGGAGTAACAATGTGAAGGAGTAACAATGTGAAGGAGTAACAATGTGAAGGAGTAACAATGTGAAGGAGTAACAATGTGAAGGAGTAACAATGTGAAGGAGTAACAATGTGAAAGAGTGACAATGTGAAGGAGTAACAATGTGAAGGAGTAACAATGTGAAGGAGTAACAATGTGAAAGAGTGACAATGTGAAGGAGTAACAATGTGAAGGAGTAACAATGTGAAGGAGTAACAATGTGAAGGGGTAACAATGTGAAGGAGTAACAATGTGAAGGAGTAACAATGTGAAGGAGTAACAATGTGAAGGAGTAACAATGTGAAGGAGTAACAATGTGAAGGAGTGACAATGTGAAGGAGTAACAATGTGAGGGAGTAACAATGTGAAGGAGTAACAATGTGAAGGAGTAACAATGTGAAGGAGTAACAATGTGACGGAGTGGCAATGTGAAGGAGTAACGAAGGAGTAACAATGTGAGGGAGTAATAATGTGAAGGAGTCACAATGTGAAGGAGTAACAATGTGAAGGAGTAACAATGTGACGGAGTGGTAATGTGAAGGAGTAACGAAGGAGTAACAATGTGAGGGGTATGTCTTGAAGGGTAACAATGTGAAGGAGTCACAATGTGAAGGTGTGTGTGTGAGAATGTGGAAGGAGTAACAATGTAAAGGAATGACAGTAATGTGAAGAATTGGCAACATGAAGGAGTAACGAAATAACAATGTGAAGGAGTGGCAATGTGAAGGAGTAACAATGTGACGGAGTGACAATGTGAAGGAGTAACGAAGGAGTAACAATGTGAGGGAGTAATAATGTGAAGGAGTCACAATGTGAAGGAGTCACAATGTGAAGGAGTAACATTGTGAAGGAGTGGTAATGTGAAGGAGTAACGAAGGAGTAACAATGTAAAGGAATGACACTGTGAAGGAGTGGCAATATGAAGGAGTAACGAAGAGTAACAATGTGAAGGAGTGACTAAGTAAAGAATAAAAACATGGGAATGAAAGAATGTTAAAGGACAAATGATTAGAAAAGATACGATTACTTATGAATGTATTTGATAGTAAGAAAATACAATTGATTATCCGAGACTTCAGTGTTTGCGAAGGTTGACATCGAGGCAAAAAATATATTTTAATTTCGTGAACTGTGATTGGAAAAAAAGAGTGTGTGTGGAGTTGGAAGTGGTGCTGGAATTGAATTGAATTGAATTGTAACATTTTATTTAGCCCACAAAATACAGATACAGAGTGGATAATAATAACAATATTAACATGGCTGAGCCAGTTGAGAACCTGAGCTCTCTTTGAGGCACCTGATATATACTATACATTTATCTCAAGGAAGTATTATGTAACATTAAGTATCATCTGGAATAGTACAATAGCATGGTAGTAATAAGTACATCTCATAGTGTTACCACGGTTATCACTTCAATATTTATTTATTGTATTATTTATTTTGTTTTATTTGTTTATTATTATTATTTTCTTTTTTATTATTATTATTATTTTTATTTATTTATTTATTTATACATACATATACACATACCTATACATATATACACATATATACATACATATATACATATACATATATACATATACATATATACATATACATATATATATATATATATATATATATATATATATATATATATATATATATATATATATATATATATATATATATATATATATATTTATTTATATATATATATATTTATATATATATATATATATATATATGAGTAAAATAGAAGTATATATATGCAATATATATATATATATATATATATATATATATATATATATATATATATATATATATATATATATATATATATATATATATATAAATTACAGTGGAATTGTAAAACATAAGTATAATGGGGGAGCAGTACAACCTGGGTTGTACAGTATTAAGGTTGAACAAGAGGACAGAGCTTTCAGGATTATGTTTAGTTGGCAATTATGTGTATTGCAATGGTAATTACTTATTTATTTACATGAATAATTTCCGATAAAACGGTTTTGATGGTACAATAAAAGCAGGTACTGTAAATATAGTAAGTGTTACAAGAAATATTAATACTTCGACAATGGATATTTTTTTAGAGATGATTTAAAGGAAGGGAGCGCAGTCTTTGCTCGGATGGGTGGGGGTAAGTTGTTCCACACCTTCACACCATAATATTTTATGGAGGTCTGGGACTGAGAGGAGCGCATGGGGGGGGGGTGGTCTTAGTAGTTCTGGGTGCCTTAAGTTGTATCTCTGATTATTCCGGAACTGGAAATAATTATTGTCAAGCAAATGATTGATAGATTTGTAAACAAAGAGGGCACAGCAGTAGGTGTTAATATCCTCGAATTTTAAAAATTTCAATATAGCAAATTTTTCGTTTGTGTGATCTGTTTTTTTCAAGTAGGTCATTGTCCGTACAACTCTCTTTTGTGCAGTAACCAGAGATTGTGTTTTTGAAGAGCCAGAGGCCCCCATTGTGTGTGGCAGTGTATCAGGTGTTGGTAAACAAGATCGTGATAGATTTCTTTCATTTCTGTGAGAGTGAGTGACTGTCGAGTGTGATACATGATACCGCACTGTTTATTGACTTTACTGTGAATGGCTTGTATGTGGTTTCTCCAGTTAAGTTTCTCATCAACAATTACTCAGAGGAATTTAGTATTTTGTTCGCGTTTGAGGACTGTATTACCAAGGTACAGGGGGTTCAAGTCTGGAGGTAAGTTTTTTCTTCTGTGAAAAATCGTGTAGTGGGTTTTCTCAAGGTTTAAGGTCAGTTTACTACGTATTACCCAGGTCCCGACTTTAGTTAATTCAATGTTCAAAGTTCTCATCAAGGAATGGAGGTCTGAGTTGCTGGCATAGAGATTACTATCGTCTGCAAATAAGTTGTATTTTATGAGTGAGCTGGCGTGGACTATGTCGTTTATGTACAACAAAAACAGTACTGGACCGAGAATGGAACCTTGGGGGACTCCATACAAAATTGGCGAGGAGTCAGATTGGTGGTTATTATAGCAGACATACTGCAACCTGTTGGACAGATATGAGGTAAACCAATTGTGGGACAGGCCCCTAACGCCGTAATGTTCAAGCTTTGAAAGGAGGATGGTATGGTCGACAGTATCGAAGGCTTTAAAGAGGTCCAAGAATATACCGACTGTGAACTGACTGTCATCAAAGGAATTTAAGATGTCATTAGTAAAGGATAGCAGAGCACTCTCAGTCGACCTTCTAGCTCTAAATCCAAACTGGGAGTCTGTAAAGATGTCATTGGCATTGCAGAAGGAATTTAGTCTATTACATGCTAGCTTTTCCAGTATCTTACTCAAGGCTGGGAGGACTGATATGGGGCGGTAGTTCTTGAAGAGACCTTTGTCCCCAGATTTTTTATATGCCGGGTGGACTTAAGCAATTTTCAGTTTATCAGGAAAGACACCACTAGTGAAGGAGGAGTTACAAATGTGGAGGAGAACAGGTAGTAATAAGTGGGCCACTTTCTTAATGATGCTCATTGGTATATTGTCTTCGCCTGCTGCTGCATCTTTGGACATTTTTATGATGGCCAGTAATTCATCTGCTGTGACAGGGGATAAGAATAGTTAATTTTGCTGTCTGTTTTGCAGGTAGGCTCTAAATTCCTCATGGTGATCAGGGATGCTCTCTGCAAGATTTTTGCCAACATTAATAAAATATTCATTGAAGTGGTTGGCAATGAGGGAGGGTTCCGTTATAACTGAATCGTTTATCATAAAAGCTGAGTGGGGGGCCGAAGGCTGAGTGTTCCTGTTCTGAGTAGAATTTATGACATTCCAGGTTTTCTTACTATCGCCTGATGCTGACTGGAGCTTATTTGTATAATAGTTACGTCTGGCATTTCTAACTGCTTGAGTTACTCTATTTCTGATACTTCGGTAAGCATCACCGAAAGATATGGGTCTTTTTGCAAATTTCCTTTGGAGTTTGTGTTTTTCCTTTATCATTATCTTAATTTCGCTTGTGATATAGGGTTTGGAAATGGATACAGTTTTCACTGACTTAGTCTTGAGCGGGAAGCATTTATCAAAGCAAGCATTGAAGATGCTAGAGAAGTTACAGCTGTTCACGTTAGGGTTGTTGGAGGCATAGACAAGATCCCAGTTAGCATTCATTTGGTTGTTTTCAAAAAGGAGCATGTTGTCGGCGCAGTAGTCTCTGTATTGAATTGAGACTCTACTAGACCTTTCAGGTCTTGTGGCTGTTTTATACATGGCAAAAACTGGGAAGTGATCTGAGATATTGTTATAAATAATTTGCTAGGTTGTTAGGAGTGTTGCTAGTCCAGATAAGATCTATCACAGTGGCAGAGGTGGCAGTTACTCTAGTGGGTTTGGTTATAGTGTTGAAGAAGAGTTTAGAATGACAGGTAGCAAGAAGGTCTAATACTGAGGTGTCGGTTTCTGATTTTAATAGATCAAGGCTGAAATCTCCTGTGATGTAGCAGTCTTTCCTCTCTGAACTTATGATAGAGATAAGCTCCGAAAATTTAATAAGAAAATTCCTTACATTAGTCTGGGGTCTTCTGTAGATTATCCCTACTAGGATATTTCGTGTGTCGTTACGTAATTCAATGAAAACACTCTCCATGTACTCCTCCTGAACCTTTAAATCATCTCTTACAGAAGTGTTATACTTGATATCAACATATAGGGCTACACCACCACTGTGTCGTGACGTGTTGACGCAGTGTCTATTATAATTAGGAATGTTATACAAATGGTCAATATCGTTAGTGAGTTTGGTCTCACCGAATCCAAGTACATCAAATTTGTGGGCAATAGAAGATAAACACTGATCTAAAAAGGTATCTAGATGAAGGGGAATACTGCTGATGTTATGGCTAATCAAGGAGAAGGAATGAGGTAGTAGGAGACTAGAACTAAACTCGGGAGAGTCAGGAAAGTAATAGTTACAGTTTGGGTTGGTGTAACCCAGTGAGTTTTGTAGAAAGACATCAGGATCGAGATGAGGGAGTATTGTGTCGACACCATGGGTAAATGGGGTGTATGAATGGTGTATGAATGTGTGTGTGTGTGTGGGGGGGGTGCTGGATGTGTATGAGTGAGTGAGTGTGTGTGTGTGGGGAGGGTGCAGATGGTGTATATAAGTGTGTGCCAGGGTGGATGGTGTGTGTGCGTGTGTGGGGGTGGATGGTGTATGGTGTGTGTGTGTGGGTGCAGGATGGTGTATGAGTGTGTGTGGGGGTGGATGGTGTTTGGTGTGCCTTGTGGGGGGTGCAGGATGGTGTAATATGAGTGTGTAGAAGTGCAGGATGGTGTATGAGTGTGTGGGGGTGCAGGATGGTGCCAGTGTGTGTGGGGTGCAGGATGGTGTATGAGTGTGTGTGGTGGGGGGTGCAGGGGATGGAGTGCATGAGGTGTGTGGGGGGGTGGATGGTGTATGAGTGTGTGTGGTGTGGGGGTGCAGGGATGGTGCACGAGAATGGGGTGGATGGTGTATGAGTGTGTGGTGGGGGGGGTTGCCAGGATGGGGTTTTGTAAGGTGTGTGGGGGGCTGCAGGATGGGTGCATGTGTGGGGGTGCAGGATGGTGCTGGTGTGTGTGGTGGGGTGCAGGATGGTTGCATGGTGTGTGGGGGTGGATGGTGTGGGGTGTGTGTGGTGGGGTTGCAGGATGGTGCATGTGAGGTGTGTGGGGGGTGGATGGTGTATGGTGTGTGTGGTGGGGGTGCAGGATGGTGCATGTGTGGGGGGTGCAGGATGGTGTATGAGTGTGTGTGGTGGGGGTGCAGGATGGTGCATGAGTGTGTGGGGTGGATGGTGCTGGTGTGTGTGGTGGGGGTGCAGGATGGTGTGTGGTGTGTGGGGTGGATGGTGGATAGTGTGTGTGGGGGTGGATGGTGTATGAGTGTGTGTGGGGGGTGGATGGTGTGTGAGTGTGTTTCCGGCGGTAGTGAAAACGAGTGTATGAAGGATGGAAAGTTTGCTCCAGAGGAAATAGAAAGCTAGTTTACGGGGCACAGATCGTGAGTCTTCATGTTGCGGCCGTCGTTCGATACTTTCCACTGATGACCAACCAGATAAAGGTGTTTTTTATAGGTGTATTTAAGAACACCTTTAATAATACTGGATATATGTATGGAGAGAGAGAGAGAGCATTACCAGGTGAGATAGTCAAGCTGGTACACACATTCCAGTCTTGATTGAGCCCCGCACCATCTAATATGTATCGTCTCGCCAAACTAACTATACCAAATACCAACACTTGTCAACCTCAGTACCTACCCGTGGTCGGTGCTGCTGGTGGGCATTGTCAGGAAGCTCGTAGATGGTGACGCCGCCTCTGTGGTTGGGACTGTAGGGGATGTTCCTCAGTAGGTCCTGGATGTAGGCGCCTCCTGGATGTCCTGGTGGAGGCACTGCAGTTGCTCCTCCTCCTCCAGGGGACTGCATCACCACATACACAGGGGCGCCACCGAACCCACTCATCCCCATTGGCAGCTGCTGCAACCAAAGCTCTTATGTTAATGGAGGAAAAGCTGTAGTATACCTTGACTATACAGCCCGCCCCCCTTGCAGCTCATTGGCTCATACATAATGTTCGATTAATATTGCTGCATCGCAAATAATTCTTATTTAACTGTTAAAGATACCCAGTTCTGGCTCATATTAATGCCGAGTTTAATGCCTGTAAAGATGTAACTGCTTGAAAACATTAACTTTCAAGATATGAATGGAAATAAAGTTTGAATTAAAGAATATTCACAGTCGAAGCCACAAAAAAATTCACGCTTTCGGAGAAGCGGGGAGGGGACTTCTTGTTTTAGTACCATAAATTGAAAAAACACCTTTTTTACAGTAAAGGACAACTGTAAATATAATGTTTTTATCTTTTCATATAAAGTCTAAGATAATATTTTTCTTTTATATCTGCTTTTCAATTAACTTGAATAGAGGACAAGATCGTTCCTGATGATAAATAACTACTTAATGTCTTGATGATGACTATTTAACCCTTTTTGAACGATGATATTAACCCTACTTGAGGACGATGATTTAAACCTTTAATATGATGTTTAACCCTTTAGGACGATTTTAAACCTTTAATGATGATGATTTAACCCTTTGAGGACGATGATTTAACCCTTAAGCGATAAATTAACCCTTTGAGGACGATGATTTAAACCCTTTGAAGGATGATGATTTAAACCTTTGAGAGACGATGATTTAACTTTGAAGACGATGAATTAACCCTTTGAGGACGATATTTAAACCTTTAATATGATGATTTAACACTTTGAGGACGATGATTTAACCCTTTAATATGATGACTTAACCCTTGAGGACGATGATTTAACCTTGAAGACGATGAATTAAACGCTTTAGGACGATGATTTAAAACTTGTATATGATTAACCTTTGAGGACTATGGTTTAACCTTTGAAGACGATGAATTAACCTTTGAGGACGATGATTTAAACCTTTAATGAGGATGATTTAACCCTTTGAGGACGATGAATTAACCCTTTGAGGAAGATGATTTAAACCTTTAATGATGATGATTTAACCCTTTGAGGACGATGATTTAACCCTTTGAAGACGATGAATTAACCCTTTGAGGACGATGATTTAAACCTTTAATGAGGATGATTTAACCCTTTGAGGACGATGAATTAACCCTTTGAGGAAGATGATTTAAACCTTTAATGATGATGATTTAACCCTTTGAGGACGATGATTTAACCCTTTGAGGACGGATGATTTAGCTCTTTGAGGACGATGATTTAACCTCTTGAGGACGATGATTTAACTTTTGAGGACGATGATTTAACTCTTTGAGGACGATGATTTAACTCTTTGAGACGATGTTTTAACCATGAGGACGATGATTTAATTCTTGAGGACGATGATTTAACCCTTTGAGGACGATGATTTAACTCTTGAGGACGATGATTTAACTCTTTGAGGACGATGATTTAACTCTTTGAGGACGATGATTTAACTCTTTGAGGACGAGATTTAACCTTTGAGGACGATGATTTAAACCTTAGGACGATGATTTAACTCTTTGAGGACGATGATTTAAACCATTAGGACGATGATTTAAACCCTTAGGACGATGATTTAACCTTTTGAGGACGATGTAGATTTAACACTTTAGGACGATGATTTAACCCTTTAGGACGATGATTTAACTTTAGGACGATGATATAAAACCTTCAAGGACGATAATTTAACCCTTAAGGACGATGATTTAAGTCTTAAGGACGACGATTTAACCCCTTAAGGACGATGATATAAAACCTTCAGGACGATAATTTAACCCTTTAAGGACGATGATTTAAGTCTTTAGGACGACGATTTAACCCTTTGAGGATGATGATTTAACCCTTTAAGACAATTAATTATCAAAATTTCAGCATTTCGACCACAGATCCTTCACCAGCGTGTACAGGTCGACCTTTAGTAAGAGTTTCAGCTTAATTAATTTTCGACCTCAAAAATATTCAAATAAATAAAAGGAACTCAAAATATTTCTCTTGTTTCATGGTTCAAGAGGAGAGGACGGCACTGGGAGAGTTAGTGCCCAGTGTACTGTAGCCTTTATAAAGAGAGTCATACTTATCTCTCCCTCTCTCTATTACTCTCTCTCACTCTATCTCTCGCTCATTAGTCTGTATATATCTCTCTCTCTCTCTCTCTCTCTCTTCTCTCTCTCTCCGTCTTGTTACATCACACCATCCTCCCCGCTCTCACGCCCTGACCCCTCTCACGCCCCCTCCACAGACTGTACCAGCAAATCGATGGGAGAGTTACTCTTTGTACCCAGGAGAAACTCTCTCTCTCTCTCCTCCCTCCCTCACATACATTCTCTCTCTCTCTCTCTCTCTCTCTCCCTTCCTCCCTGACATACATTATCTCAGCCTCTTCTCTCTCCTTCCCTTCCTCTCACAAATATCTGCCTCTCTCTCTCTCTCCCTCCCTCACACAAATTCCAGCCTCTCTCTCTCCCTCCTCTTCCTCCTCACTACATTCTCAGCCTCTTCCTTCCTCCCTCACATACATTCTCTCAGCTCTCTCTCTCCCCTTCCTTCCTCCTCCCTCACATACATTCTCTCAGCCTCTCTCTCCCTCCCTTCCTTCCCTCCCTCACAAACATTCTCTCAGCCTCTCTCTCTCTCTCTTCCTTCCTCCCCTCTATACATTCCCTTCTCATCTCTCTCCCTTCCTCCCTCTCAAACATTCTCTCAGCTCTCTTTCTCTCCCTCACAAACATTCTCTCAGCCTCTCTCTCTCTCCTCCTTCCTCCCTCACAAGCATTCTCTCAGCCTCTCTCTCTCCCCTTCCTCCCTCACAAACATTCTCTCAGCCTCTCTCTCCTCTCTCTCCTGTCCTCCCTCACATACATTCTCTCAGCCTCCTCTCTCTCTCCTCCTTCCTCCCTCACAAACATTCTCTCAGCCTCTCTCTCTCCCTCCCTTTCTTCCTCCCCTCACAAACATTCTCTCAGCCTCTCTCTCTCCTCCTTCCTCCCTCACAAACATTCTTCAGCCTCTCTCTCTCTCTCTCCTCCTTCCTCCCTCACATACATTCTCTCAGCCCTCTCTCTCTCTCTCCTCCTTCCTCCCTCACAAACATTCTCTCAGCCTCTCTCTCTCCCTTCCTCCCTCACTACATATTCTCTCAGCCTCTCTCTCTCTCTCTTCCTTCCTCCCTCACAAACATTCTCTCAGCCTCTCTCTCTCTCTCCCTCTCTCCTCCTTCCTCCTCCCTCACATACATTCTCTCAGCCTCTCTCCTTTCCTCCCCTCACAAACATTCTCTCAGCCTCTCTCTCTCTCTTCCTTCCTCCCTCACAAACATTCTCTCAGCCTCTCTCTTCTCGTCCCTCACAAATATTTCTCTCAGCCTCTCTCTTCCTCCTTCCTCCCTCACATATACATTCCTCTCAGCCTCTCTCTTCCTTCCCTCCCTCACAAACATTTCTCCCTTCTCAGCCTCTCTCTCTCCTCCTTCCTCCCTCACAAACATTCTCTCAGCCTCTCTCTCTCTCTCTCTCCCTCCCTCCTCCCTCACAAACATTCTCTCAGCCTCTCTCTCTCTCTCTCCCTTCCCTCCGTCACATACATTCTCTCAGCCTCTCTCCTTTCCTCCCTCACAAACATTCTCTCAGCCTCTCTTCCTTTCCTCCCTCAAAAACATTCTCTCAGCCTCTCTCTCTCTCTCTCCTCTGTCCCTCACAAATATTCTCTCAGCCTCTCTCTCTTCTTCCTTCCTCCTCCCTCACATACATTCTCAGCTCTCCCCTCTCTCTCTTCCTTCCTCCTCCCTCACAAACATTCTCTCAGCCTCTCTCTCTCTCTCTCCTCCCTTCCTCCCTCACAAACATTCTTCTCAGCTCTCTCTCTCTCTCTCTCTCTCTCCTCCCTCCTCCCTCACAAACATTCTCCTCTCAGCCTCTCTCCCTTCCTCCGTCACACTTACATTCTCCTCTCAGCCTCCTTCCTCCCTCACAAACATTCTCTCAGCCTCTCTCCTTCTCTCTCTCTCTCTTCCTTCCTCCCTCACAAACATTCCTTCAGCTCTCCCTCTCTCTCCCTTCCTCCCTCACAAGCATTCTTCTCAGCTCCTCTCTCTCCCTTCCTCCTCACAAACATTCTCTCAGCCTCTCTCTCTCCTTCCTCCCTCACAAACATTCTCTCAGCCTCTCTCTCTCTCTCTTCCTTCCTCACAAACATTCTCTCAGCCTCTCTCTCTCTCTCTCTCTCTCTCTTCCTTCCTCCTCATCTACATTCCTCTCAGCCTCTTTCTTCCCTCCCTCACAAACATTCTCTCAGCTCTCTCTCTCCCTTCCTCCCTCACAAACATTCTCTCAGCTCTCTCTCTCTTTCTTC